ATCCATATTTGTTGCTGCTCTTTTCACAGTATCTAAGAGATGGAAGCAACATAAGTGTCCCTCAATTGATGAGTGGATAATGAAAATGTGGTTCATTTATATGATGGAGTTTTACTCAGCAGTAAGGAAAGATGAAATCATGAAATTTGTAGGTAAATGGATGGAACTAGAAACCGTTATACTAAGTGAAATAACAGAGACTCAGAAAAAAATCGACATATGTTCTCTCTCATGTGTGGATCCTAGAACCAGACTCTGATAAAATAAGTATGCAACCAGACATAACTACAGAAACCAGGATAATGGAAAGGAAACAGGGAGGTAAAGGAAAAGAAATAACATGAAAGAGAAAAACAGTAAGAAATAGGCCTTAATAAGGGAGATATGGATAAACAGTGGGTTAGTTTAAGGGAGCGGAGAGGGAAGAGTATACGAGGAACCTAGGGCATAAAGGGAAAGAAGGAGCTCAAGAGAGGTAGAACCACAGGAGAAGGGTATTATGGGAGAAAGGGGGGCAATGGCACCTTAAGAGGGAAAACCATGATGGAGGGGTGAGACAATGTAAGAGATAAACAATGCCTAGCTAGCTTTGAAAACCAGTGAGAACCACATTACTCCTATAACCTACTGACAGATTATACATAGCAGACCAAGAAATATATGTCTAGGTAAGGTTTATCTGAGAACAACTGGTCTTTGCCTAAGACTTATCTACATGACACACAGTAATTAAAAATACCAGACTGGTGGAACTAACCTTCTTGGGTGTTTAACAGACATACTTTGAGGTCTATAATAATTTGGTCAGAGGGACATAAAGGACAGTTTTTGCTCCTTGCCCTCCTAGGTCGACTAGTTCCAGGAGACTATGAGCATCTCTCAAAATGTCCTATAATGGTGGTGGGTCACCTGTCCTCTTGATCAAGGAGGCCAAGGAGACCCCGCCAGATGCACTTGAACCAGTGTCCAGTCTATAAAGGGGAGGGTCAACACAGAGGAATCATTTCCTCCATGCTTCCAAGCGAAGCCAACCATGGTCAAGCAGGACCTTTACCTGCTTCACAAAGGTGGAACTGGTAAAAGAAAGGAGCCAGGGGCTCCTCCCAAGCCCGTGTGACCCCTGAGGAACAGATCCTTAAACGACCTTAAGAGTAAAAATAAATCGGTTTATATGGACCACCTGCATGGTCTTAAACACCCAAAAGGAAAGTATAACCAAAGGTTAAAGGGGCCAATATAATTTCATAAGAGAATATATGTATAGTTAAAGGCTACATAGCAAGCAACAATGCCAGACAGGCGATATCTCCTTCTGAGTTGTTGGCCAGGGTGGCCAAAGGGATTCCCAGATAGTAACCCAGCATAGAACTGGGAAATTGAACAGCAGACCCCAATTTTATCCAAAGGAATATTGACAACTGAATACCGCTAGATGAAGAACTGCTGACCCTCCTAAAACAAAGACCTCGAGATAGGCTGATTACTGGGGAATGGCTAGGGGTGCTGACAACACAGCAGACAGTAGCAGGGATATCAGAGTATAAGGGCTCTAGTGGGTGGGAGGAGGGAGGCTATGGGAGGGTGCTACCTGGGAAGTGGGTCTATGAGAAAAAATTCTTCAAAGCATAAAAATTTGCTCCTTAATAACTAGTAGATGTGAAAAACGTTACCATTGAAACCTACCAAATGACTTTATATCCATGCTCAGATGCCAGGGAGCTCAGAAAGTAACCAACTATCACTAGTAATAATCA